AGAATCGCTCTTCGAGCAACATTTTAAAGGAATGATAGGTAATTAGGGAACATTATGGGCTTTTTATCATTACTTTTTGCAAAGGCATTTATCAGGATTCCATTATCCTAAACTTTGACCTGTCATGTACAATCTTTTACCACAAGAGATAGGCCCTTGTACACATCACTTAAAAGTATGATATGTTAAAAGTCGATAGAAATTTTATCCCTCTGATTTTTCTCACTCCATTCAAGGAAATAATGTTTAGCCCTATTCTCAAAGTAGAGTGGAATCTTACTAAATTTTCTTATTCATTAACTTTAGAAATGAATAAAAATTGAACGCATGGAAAGTTTTCCCTTTACTTGTACATAATGTAAGCAAATTTGCAAATCATATGCTTCGGTGAAAAGCAACGATTAAACAAATTTAATCAAGATTGTTATATTTCAGATATGATGTAGACCAATCAACTTTCTTTCTTTCTTTCTTTTACTTATTTTGGTATTGGGATGATATATAATCCATCGCCCCAGCTCAAAATATCATAAAGTGAAAAAAAGAAGAAGAAGAAGAAGTAGTTTTGTGAAGTAATTCAAGATCATTGGAACCGATTATTTTTCACATTAATCTTTATTTTTTTTTCCACACGATAAATATGTCTCGTATTTTATTGTTGATATTGCAAGAAAGTAAAATGTACAGATACATACTTTATCAAACATTGGTGTCTGAATTAAAAATTTCATGTAAATTAGACTGGACTTATAACCAAAAATGATTTTATATGTTGTTTGTACAAAGATAATTCAACAAATTGAATATATTTAAATCAGTCTGAAAATTATTAAAGAATAATTTCATGGTATTTAGTGTATTATACAATATTGCAAGCAAAACACAGATTGAGACTAATAATTGGTTTTATGAAGAATAATTGGTAGAGAGCATATTACCTGCAAAGGTGGCAAATTAAAAATAAAAAATAAAAAATGTATGTATAAAATATATGCAACCTAATCCACCTATTTATGAAAGAAAATATACGGGTCCATTAACAAAAGTTCTATCACTCAATCCCCTTTACAAAAAATTATTAATTTGTTGTACCGTAATGAAAGATATTCATGAATATTCAATCCATTGCCTATAATAGGAACAAAATCATCATTTCTCTATACACATAAAAGGACAATTTGAATATAGGTATTGAAACTTCAAAAAAGAGGGGTTTTATGGTTATTGTCTAGCATTACAAGCAATACCAGAATATGTGAAAATGGAACATTAATGGGGGTGATGCCATCAAAGATGTTCGTAAATTTGGAAGAGATGTTTCAATATACGTTAAATTATATCAAAAAAAACAAGTTGAAACATTGGATAATATGCACTAGATATCATGATAAGATTGTATAAAGCATCATATAAATTGTTGGTAGTTTGATAAGGATAATTGAATAGTGTTAAATAAAGAAAACTAATTTCGTGTTTGGCTAATGTTTTTTATAAGCAGTTTATAATCCGTTGACCACAAAATTATGATCAACAAGTTTTTTTTCACTTGTCAGGATTTTCTTTTCCTAATTTCAGTGCACCAGATGCTCATAAGGAACGAGTGGTGAAATAATTATTT